ATGCTACGGCTACACCCGCAGACTTACAATACTCTAACACTATCTGATCGCTAGTGAATGCTACGGCTACCCCCGTAGTCTTACAACACTTCCCATGCTAACTGACTGCTAGTGAATGCTACGGCTACCCCCGTAGTCTTACAACACTTTCTATACTAACCGACGACTAGTGAATGCTACGGCTACCCCCGTAGTCTTACAACACTTTCCAAACCGGGTCGAACACGCACTCGACCTAACCCTCAACTGAACTCGAGTCCTAACCGGAACTCTAACCTGGTTCGCGAAACCTTCTATCACGTGACCCCACTGTATCAGCACCGCACCCATGCCCGTGATCAAAGCGTCACCGTAAACCACCAAAATCATCTACACCCTCTGGCAGGGTGAGAATCGGTGCCTCGCACAACCGTTGTCTGAGAGTCTCGAAGGCTGCCTGCTGCTCAGGCCCCCAATGAAAGGCCAGCGACTTCTTGGTCAGTCGGGTCGAAGGAACCTCAATCTCAGAGAAGTCCCGTATAAATCTCCGGTAATATTCCGCTAGACCCATGGAATTCCGAATCTCAAATGGAGACCTCGGAATCTCCCACTGCATCACGACCTCTATCTTAGCCGAAACAACTAGAATACCCTTCTGGTTGACAAGGTGGCCAAGAGATTGCACCTTGCGCAACCAAAACACAAAGTTGGAGAACTTTATAAAAAGTCTCTCCCCCACTTAGATTCGACTAAGTCTTCACATTACATGAGAATTGAAGGATTCCCAATCCTTCTCGCTTTCTAATATCCCACTGATGACAACATGTGCCTGCCAATGCTAGCGCTTAATCGCCGATTAAACCTTGAGATCTCCCATCCTCGGAAATCTCAATGAGTACTCTTGAAATCTGATCCAGTCTGACACCTCAATCCATCTAACATGTTGTAAATTGAAGACCTTAATCTTCACTCTAGCTGACGAATCCTTGTCCCCACTCCCAATCTTGCAGTACCACTGAACTCTAACTGAACACAGCCCATGAGAAAAACATAATTCTCTTAAAACATCCAATGACCAACCACTTATGCATCTAACACCCGCGACTAACACTACCCTCTTCCTGTCACCAGTTCTGTCCTAGCAACGGTAGTGCCTTGAACTCCAAAGTTCATCCATAAACAATTACCGACCATACCTGAACAATGATAGAACCTCTGAACGCTGACTTCATTGGAGAACAATCACTCCAACCCCGATCGAGTATCCTCTAAATAATACTCCTGCATAGATCCCGACGAAGATTCGAAATGATAACGGTACACGCGGAACCCACTCTGCAAGATGCGTCCCTCTGTGGGTTCATCAAGGACCTTTTGGCATGCAGGATGGCATATATGATCCTTGATAATCCAAACACTAGCAGAAAAACCGACCCGAGGTCTGACATATCCAAACTCACTCACAATTCCCAAGCGGTACGTATTCCAAACATCCACCTAATAGCATAGAAGATGACATACCCGCAACATCTGGAGGAATACTGATCCCCTTCTGCTGACATGACCAACCCCGCTACCCTGTAGCAGCCTAAACCCTTGGAGTGACAAACTCCCTAGTGTACTTTCTCGTACGCGCTGCACTGACCCAGGCCCTGCTGGCCTTTCACCCGATGATCAAAAGTCATGGGTCTCTTCCCGGGACCCTCTACTATACGCACCTGGCACACACTTCTCCTTCCGAGGTGCTCCCAAATCGATCCTGTATCTGCAACTCTTGGAAATCATATCCTTCAGGGTCCGACACCCTGTCACGCTCACTAGCTCGCTTGCCAATGGCTAAGCTGCAATAACTGGAACATCCTCTATCCCCAAACTGGGTCACAAACTCTTCCCTGAAGCTTCTTAGATTCTCCAAGACTCTCACTGATTCGAGTATGGATCTTGTGCTTTCAGTAGTACGGGCCCAATACTACCTTCCACACCTATCCATACTTTCCTCAGCAATCCTCCCAAATCCTCCAAGTTCCTTCCTCAAGCTGGTAAACCCAAGTCTAACTGAGCCTCACTACTAACCCACTGAAACATATCCTTGGCTTTCCTAGGTTCCCGTACTCACCCAGTCCTCAGCTGCTGAAAGATTCCAAGTAATGTCAACTAGCTACCTCATGAACATAGCTAGCTCACATTACTAAGAGTCCCACATAGCACAAAGCATGCAGCATTCAGACAATAGAAAATCTAACCATCATATTCCAATCAAATCATTTTATCCTCTAATCAGGAATCTGCACATGCACTTCAAAGGCTCATACAATCAGGCATAAGCTAAACAGGCTATCCTATTACTGACTGGTCAGTACTAGCATGCAAGTCTACAAACACATACAGCAGGCATATAAGGCATCTTCCTAGATCCTTAGCCCTAATCTAGCATGCAATTCTCATAATCATATCATATCATACCATAACATAACATGTATGGGTATCTTGGGGAAAACTTACTTGAGCTCGGCTGATTGCACGCATCACACACTTTGTTCTTCTTAAAGTTCTTTTCTCTTTTCAGATTCTTTTCAACTCCTTTTTATAAAATGGTTTTACTTTTGAAAATTTTCATACCAAGCCCTTAGTTTGAGTTCAGACACACCCGAGAGTATGTCCGAATCCCTCAAACCAAGCCTCTGATACCAACTTGTAACATCCCAAAATTCAAGGGTAAAAATTTCGTTATAATTAAGTAATTATATAAAAACCATCAGTATAAAAACATTCATAATAATATTTCGTGTCAAACCAAAGTGTCAATAATCAAAACATATTATCATAAAACCATATCAGAGTGTAATCCCAAGGATCTCATGTGCGGAAACATAGTGTGATGCGCTGCGATCAGGCCGACTCCTTTCCTTTAAAAACGAGTACTTGAAACCAAAACTAAAAACCGTAAGCACGAAGCTTAGTGGGTTCCCCATCATATCACATAACATACAATCACATAGCATACATACTGCCAGGCAATTCTGGGGTGCCCGACCCACCCGTGTCAAGCCATTCTGGGGTGCTGACCTACCCGTGTCAAGCCATTCTGGGGTGCTGACCTACCCGTGTCAAGCCATTCTGGGGTGCTGACCTACCCTTCGGTCCTAACAACTGAACTCCGGGGAGTATCTCACCCCATACTACTACTATCACACATATCATAACATAATCATACTGTCAGGCATATCTGGGGTGCCCGACCTACCCTTCGGTCCCTACGACCGAGATGTGAGGACTATTTCACCTCCTACTACTACCACATAATATCATTGCATAAACATACTGTCAGGCATATCTGGGGTGCCCAACCTACCCTTCGGTCCCTACGACCGAGATGCGAGGACTATTTCACCTCCTATTACTACTATCACATATAACATATCATGCCAACATATAAACATATCATAACATACTGTCAGACATATCTGGGGTGGCCGACCTACCCATCGGTCCTAACAACCGAACTTGAGGACTATCCCCCCTACTACCACTATCACATATAACATATCATGCCAGCATATAACATATCAGGTAGTTCCAAACCTAGATGAATATCACAAGGAAAATCATCTAACATACAACTCCTACTGGTGGGCCGGCATTGTGGCCGTAGACCCACCGCAACTGGAAGGTAACTCACCTCACAGTGCTGAAGTCCCGTAGACACAATCCCACTCTGCTGAAGTCCCGCAGACTCAGCCCCAGCTGCTGGATGACAGATTCCCGAACTGTCAACACCAAAATAACACCCAATTAATAATTGGGTCCCACTACATAACCATAAGTACATTCTTTAGGTAATTACCACATTACCCCTAGCTTGGCTTATTCAAGCCCAAGGCCCAATCCATAGGCCCAAAGTCAATTAGGAATCAAAGCCCAACACATGGCCTAATTTTCCAAATTGGGCCTAGGCCTATACATGGTCTCATTCTAAGGCCCAACATCATATAATCATTAAGGCCCAAACTATGGCCCATCTATGGTCTAATTTTCCAAATTAGGCCCAACTCCTCATATGGGCCTTACCACAAAGCCCATTAATTATTCTAGTCTATTTGCTCGATCTTGGATGGCCCATTAATAGTCCAATCATCAAGGCCCAATAAAGGCCCAACAATAAACCCAAGTGAAATTAGGGTTTTCACATAAAATGACGATTAGGGTTAAGTGTTTCTCACTTAACCCATTAAGGGCTTAATCCATTAAGGACTTAATCCAGTAAGTCCATCATTCTTCTAAATAAGTCATATGGTATGATTGGGCTTAATCACACAATTCCATTCCAATGGCCCAAAAGTGGGTCCCAATAAGTCCAAGCCCATAAATCCAATATTAGGGTTTTCTAAACCCTAATTAGGGTTTCCAATCCCATCTTAGCCCAATAGGCCCAAAACCAAGTCCTTAAGCCTATTAGGGTTCCTTAGGCCAATTAGGGTTTATTACACCCATTAGTCACATGTTTGGGCTTTTGGGTCCATTAAGCTTCATTGGGCCCATTAGGGTTCATTAAGCCCCATTAATCCTCATTGGGCCCATTAGGGTTTCTTAGTCCCTTGTCCAAACATACAAACGAGTCAAACACAACAAGCACGCCGCCACCCGACACGGTGGCCGGTGGCGGCAGGAGGCGGCAGCACCACCTCACGGTGGTGGTTTCGAATTTCTTTCTCATCATTCCATTTTTTGTTGTTACAATTTACATTGGAAATACCAAAAGCAAAACACACACACACACGCTAGATACACCCACCCACGGTGGTTCATGGTGGCAGCCACCACCTCACACTGGTGGCAGTGACGGTTCTCTTCGGATCTCTGGCCAAGATGTACTCCTGCAACCCTATACCATTACAGTACACACACACCGATACATAACACAGCCACCCACACCTGGTGGTCGAAGGTGGCGGAAAGCAAAAATAGCGGCAGCGACATCAACCCAGCGTCCGGCGGCGATTTCTGATGTAACAGGAAAACGGATGAGGCGGACGACATCACAGGCTTGCGGAGTTCGATCCCCAGCAGAATCGACAGGCGGCTTCGGCGGTTTGGTGACAGTGAAACCGTGTCCAGGACGTCATCGCCGGCAGCAACATCGCATCATTACTTCATCCTCTTCTGCCCCGATATCCAACCACTGTTTTCCATTCTCCGCCACAACAGAAGCGGCGACACTTGGTCTTAAAGGAAAATGGAAGCTGTGGTTGCACAGCGCTACAGCGGCGGCGACGGCGCCAACAGGCGGCATTCAGTGATGTAAACGCAACCCACGGTGGTTCACGTCGATGCAACGTATGCCTCGGAGGAAAGGGAAAAACGCAACAGCAGCCTCGGTACCAGCCTTCAGGCCCGCTGCCGGAGGTGGTCGATGAGAGAATGGCGGCTGGAAGATCACCCGGCGGCTGCTCCTTAGGTTTAGGGTTTCAGCATGTAGCGGGTTTATATATCCCGCATCATCCAAACTTTCTCCCATGTTTACACAAACAGTCCCTCTTTCCCCCTTTTCTTTCAAAACAGATCCAATATTTACCTTTTTAACCCCTGATTCCATAAATCATTACAATATAAATCCGGAATTTACATTTTATCCCTTGCTTCCATAATTCCTTTCATATTGAGTCCTAATTGTTACCAAGCAGCCCCTGTCTTCAATATTACTTACAAATTAAGTCCGGATTTTACACTTTAATCCCCGCCTTCTAAAATTATGACAGTTAACTCCTCGAGACCATCACCTTGCTATATAATTATTAATTTTAGGGCTACTATTCATTCATTAATTTGTTTATTTATTTTTATTAAATAAACAGGGTGTTACAACTCTCCCCAACTTAAATTAGATTTCGTCCTCGAAATCATTCCTTATCCTTCCTTACACACCCAACCACTCTAGTAACATGGTCACCATCCCAAGGTACACCCTAGCCTTCCCAGGGTAGCTATGACCAATCTCCGCAAGGCCCTAAAATCCATAGATGAAGGAATTTCTCGCAACATGGTAACATTTACTCGATCTGAATCTGCTGTCTCGAGATGGTCTGAATCCCTGGCAGACCACTCATATTGAATCATTATCGTTGGACCCAGTCCACTTTATCCTTCAACCGGCTACTCAATTTCTGATAACTCGAGGTTCCCACTATAAAACAGGATCACAGACCTAATTATCTCTGTAGATCACTTGTACCTGGCCAAGGCCCAGATACTCCTGCTGTGAGTGACTTGTCACCCCCCAATAAACCAACTATAGAGTGTGTACTTGCAACCTAAGACACAAGTACTAATACTGCCCAGACGCCGAAACTGCCTGAACACTGAACTGCCTGAAGTAGTATGTTGCCACATGGATGCTTTCCAAAATCTAACGAGACCTGCTTGGTCTCAATGCGTTCACCAACCATCTGAAATACCGGGTTCCGGCCCAGCTTCAGGTCCAAAGGACCCCCCACTTAGTCGTCTTGCACGACTTCTGAACGTGATGCTTCTCTGAACTAGTTGCGACTAGTTATCATGCCACCATGGCTCTAACAACCTCCTGATCTAACCGATCAGGTCCATGTGTCGCATCCTGTCATCATCCAATCCGAGACTAAAAGTGATTGCTACCTAACCAATGGTAGCCTTACATCACAAACGCCCTTAAGCAGTCCATTACTTCCCTGATCCCATAACTGTAGTGGCGTTCCTACAGTCTTATCACTGGCTCAACCAGAGCTAATCCATTCTGGGTAATACCGAAATCCAATATGTGTGTTTCCATATCCTCACTGCTGCACCCGAACTGGTGGGTACTACTGTTCCATCCGCGTTCTAACAACACGCTCATGCCATCTACCAACCTAGTGAATGCTACGGCTACACCCGCAGACTTACAACACTCTATCACTATCTAGCTGCTAGTGAATGCTACATCTACACCCGCAGACTTACAACACTCTAACACTATCTGCCAACCCGGTGAATGCTACGGCTACACCCGTAGACTCACAACACCCTAACACTATCTGCCAACCTGGTGAATGCTACGGCTACACCCGCAGACTTACAACACCCCTCACACTATCTGCTGCTAGTGAATGCTACGGCTACACCCGCAGACTTACAACACTCTAACACTATCTGCCAACCTGGTGAATGCTACGGCTACACCGACAGACTTACAACACTCTTAACACTATCTGCCAACTTGGTGAATGCTACGGCTACACCCGCAGACTTACAACACCCCTCACACTATCTGCTGCTAGTGAATGCTACGGCTACACCCGCAGACTTACAACACTCTAATACTATCTGATCGCTAGTGAATGCTACGGCTACCCCCGTAGTCTTACAACACTTCCCATGCTAACTGACTGATAGTGAATGCTACGGCTACCCCCGTAGTCTTACAACACTTTCTATACTAACCGACGACTAGTGAATGCTACGGCTACCCCCGTAGTCTTACAACACTTTCCAAACCGGGTCGAACACGCACTCGACCTAAACCTCAACTGAACTCGAGTCCTAACGAGAACTCTAACCTGGTTCCCGAAACCTGCTATCACGTGACCCCACTGTATCAGCACCGCACCCATGCCCGTGATTAAAGCGTCACCGTAAACCACCAAAATCATCTACACCCTCTGGCATGGTGAGAATCGGTGCCTCGCACAACCGTTGTCTGAGAGTCTCGAAGGCTGCCTGATGCTCAGGCCCCCAATGAAAGGCCACCGACTTCTTGGTCAGTCGGGTCGAAGGAACCTCGATCTTGGAGAAGTCCCGTATAAATCTCCGGTAATAACCCGCTAGACCCGTTGAATTCCGAATCTCAAATGGAGACCTCGGAATCTCCCACTGCATCACGACCTCTATCTTAGCCGAAACAACTAGAATACCCTTCTGGTTGACAAGGTGGCCAAGAGATTGCACCTTGCGCAACCAGAACTCACAGTTGGAGAACTTTATAAAAAGTCTCACCCCCACTTAGATTCGACTAAGTCTTCACATTACATGAGAATTGAAGGATTTCCAATCCTTCTCGCTTTCTAATATCCCACTGATGACAACATGTGCCTGCCAATGCTAGCGCTTAATCGCCGATTAAACCTTGAGATCTTCCATCCTCGGAAATCTCAATGAGTACTCTTGAAATCTGATCCAGTCTGACACCTCAATCCATCTAACATGCTGTAAATTGAAGACCTTAATCTTCACTCTAGCTGACGAATCCTCGTCCCCACTCCCAATCTTGCAGTACCACTGAACTCTAACTGAACACAGCCCATGCGAAAACATAATTCTCTTGAACATCCAATGACCAACCACTTATGCATATAACACCCGCGACTGACACTACCCTCTTCCTGTCACCAGTTCTGTCCTAGCAACGGTAGTGCCTTGAACTCCAAAGTTCATCCATAAACAATTACCGACCATACCTGAACAATGATAGAACCTCTGAACGCTGACTTCACTGGAGAACAATCACTCCAACCCTGATCGAGTATCCTCTAAATAATACTCCTGCATAGATCCCGACGAAGATCCGAAATGATAACGGTACACGCGGAACCCACTCTGCAAGACGCGTCCCTCTGTGGGTTCATCAAGGACCTTTTGGCATGCAGGATGGCATATATGATCCTTGATAATCCAAACAATAGCAGAAAAACCGACCCGAGTTCTGACTTATCCAAACTCACTCATAATTCCCAAGCGGTACGTATTCCAAACATCCACCTAATAGCATAGAAGATGACATACCCGCAACATCTGGAGGAATACTGATCCCCTTCTGCTGACATGACCAACCCTGCTACCCTGTAGCAGCCTAAACCCTTGGAGTGACAGACTCCCTCGTGTACTTTCTCGTACGCGCTGCACCGACCAGGCCCTGCTGGCCTTTCACCCGATGATCAAAAGTCATGGGTCTCTTCCCGTGACCCTCTACTATACGCACCTGGCACGCACTTCTCCTTCCGAGGTGCTCCCAAATCGATCCTGCATCTGCAACTCTTGGAAATCATATCCTTCAGGGTCCGACACCCTGTCACGCTCACTAGCTCGCTTGCCAATGGCTAAGCTGCAACAACTGGAACATCCTCTATCCCCAAACTGGGTCACAAACTCTTCCCTGAAGCTTCTTAGATTCTCCAAGACTCCCACTGATTCGAGTATGGATCTTGTGCTTTCAGTAGTACGGGCCCAATACTACCTTCCACACCTATCCATACTTTCCTCAGCAATCCTCCCGAATCCTCCAAGTTACTTCCTCAAGCTGGTAAACCCAAGTCTAACTGAGCCTCACTACTAACCCACTGAAACATATCCTTGGCTTTCCTAGCGGGTACCAAAACTCGTCTCCGTGACGCTCTGATCAGAGAGCACTTCGTCACAACATTCTCTTGCTGACTAGCGGGTACCACGGCTCCCCGCAGTATCATAACGACCTCTCACTGAACAGTGAGTACTACGGCTCCCTGCAGCATCACCACAACCCCTCACTGAATAGTGAGTACTATGGCTCCCCGTAGCATCACCGCAACCTCTCACTGAATAGTGAGTACTACGGCTCCCCGTAGCATCACCACAACCTCTCACTGAATAGTGAGTACTACGGCTCCCCGTAGCATCACCGCAACCTCTCACTGAATAGTGAGTACTACGGCTCCCTGTAGCATCACCGCAACCTCTCACTGAATAGTGAGTACTACGGCTCCCCGCAGTATCACAACACCCTCTCGCTGACTGGCAAATACTACGGCTTCCCGCAGTATCACCGCACTCTCTCGCACTAACTCATGGATGCTACAACTCTCTGTAGTCTTACCGTGCTTTCTATTACCACTCCACGATCTCACCCTCAAGTTGACACCACACTGCGATCATTAACTCATGCTCTGCGACCTAGCATAGATAGGTTCAAACACACCCCTCTAGGCTAAGCATCACTACTTCGGACGACCACTGTCGTGACAAAACCTCTTTTTCTCGCTGCAATTCACATTCTCAAATAAATCCATTTGATGTCAATTAACTGAAGGGCCCCCACCGGAACTATAGACACTTGATACACCACTCGTCATCTCAAACTCAAACTCAAAATAATCCGAGATTTTAGGACATTAAACTCGGACACCTCGGAATACCATCACAACGCGTCGCAGTGTCTTGACTCTACCACTGATCTCATACTCATAGCATCATACTCAGATACCGCATTGCTTCCTTGGAATCTCGCAACTGGTCTTTCTCTCGTGCTACTTGTAAC